GGAGTATTTGAATGTTTTTAGTATTCTTTTTTAATTCATGAATTAGTTTATCTTTGTGTGTGGGTGTATACATTTAATGGTTGCCCTGGAGCATTATAATATACATACCTATTTCAGCATCTATTTAGAGTTGATATTGTAATTTTTTAAGTAAAGTGTACCTTTACAACCACCTAAATTAATCTTGATTCTTTCTTGATTTTATTATAATTGTCACGTTTTTGGTTGTGTGTGTGTGTGTGTTTGAGATTGAGAGAGAGAGTCTTGCTCTCTCACCCAGACTGGAGTGTAATGGCATGATCTCGGCTCACTGCAGTTTCTGCCTCCTCGTTCAAGCAGTTCTCGTGCCTAGAGACAAGAGTTTTTACAATGTTGGCCAGGCTGGTCTCAAACTCCTGGCATCAAGCAATCTGCCCACCTAAGCCTCCCAAACTGCTGGCATTACAAGTGTGAGCCACCACACCTGGCCTATCACATGTATTATATCTACGTATGTTAAAAACCATACCAGGCAATGTGATAACTTTTGCTTTAAACAGTCATTGAGATTTTAAAGCTCTTAAGGGGAAAATTGTTAATTATGTTTATGCAGATATTTTTCATTTCTGTCACTCTTTCTTTTTTACTGAAGATACAAGTTTTCTCCACAGCTCACTTCTTTTCAGCCTAAAGTACTTGCGATGTAGCCTTTCTTCCTGACCCCAATTTTTCCTACATTTCCTTCATCTGAAAATGTCTTTCTTTTGCTTTCATTTCTGAAGGATAGTTTCACTAGACGTACCTATTGTTTTCTTTCAGCTCTTTAAGGACGATACTCCAGTGGCTTTTGGCCTACCTAGTGTCTGTTGGGAAATCCATGGTCACTGGAGTCATTATTTTCCTATGTTAATATGTCACATTTCTCTTAACTACTCTCCTGAAATTTTTTTAGTCTTTGATTTTCAAGTTTTATTATGATATATATATGGGTGGTTTTCTTTTTCTTTTTCCTTTTTTTTTTTTTTGTTTTTTAGACAGAGTTTTGCCCTTGTCGCCCAGGCTAGAGTACAGTGGTGTGATCTTGGCTCACTGCAACCTCCACCTCCCGGATTCAAGTGGTTTTCCTGCCTCAGCCTCCCGAGTAGCTAGGATTACAGGTGCCCACCACCACACCTGGCTAATTTTTTAACTTTTAGTAGAGATGGGGTTTCACCTTGTGGGCCAGGCTGGTCTTGAACTCCTGATCGCAGGTGATCCACCCGCCTCAGCCTCCCAAAGTGTTGGGATTGTAGGCATGAGCCACTGTGCCCAGATGGCTTTATTTGAATTTAACCTGTTTGGGTTTCATTGAGCTTTAGATAATTTTCCCATAAGTCCCTGAAACCTTCATCTTTTTTCCTGTCAGTCAGATTATATAATCTTTGTTAATCAGTCTTCAAATTCACTGACCCTCCTCTGTGAGCACCATTTTGCTATGAGCCCATCCAGTGTCTGTTTTATTTTAATCTCAGACTTCATATTGTTTAGTTTTAAATTTACTAATTTTTTAAAAAATAGTTTTTCTGTGCTGTGCACTTTCATCTTTCCATTATTTGAAGTATTAAAGGGCTTTACTGGCCGGGCACAGTGGCTCAGGCCTGTAATCCCAACACTTTGGGAGGCCAAGGCGGGCGGATCACAAGGTCAAGAGATCAAAACCATCCTGACAACATGGTGAAACCCCATCTCTACTAAAATTTCAAAAAAAATTTTTTTTTGAAAAGGGGCTTTGCCTCAAGGAGTATAGTTATAATAGCTGCTTTAACATTTCTTTTGGCCAGTTCCAACATCTGCATCATCCCAGAGCTGACATCTATTGATTGGCCTTTTCTTTGAAAATTGGTTGTATTTCCTGGTTCTTTGTATGCAGAGTAATCTTTTATTGTTTCCTTGACATTCTGTTTATTTATTTAGAGATAGGGCTCTGTTGCCTAGGCTGGAGTGCAGTGGTGCAATCACAGCTCACTGCAGCCTCAACCTTCTGGTCTAAAGTGATCCTTCCACTTCAGCCTCCCGAGTAGCTGAGACTACAGGTGCACTGGCACCACACCCAGTTAGTGTTTTGTATTTATATCTTCTGTGGAGACGGAGTTTTACTGTGTTGACCAGGTTAGTCTTGAACTCCTTAGCTCAAGTGATCCACCTGCCTCAGCCTCCCAAAGTGCTGGGATTACAGGTGTGAGCCACCATGCCTGGCTATCCTTGACATTTTAACGTTCTGTTCTGTAGACTGTGGGTTTGTATTATAGTCTTTTGGAGAACGTAGATGTTTTTTGTTTAACAGGCAACCCTGTAGACCACAGGTTCTGTCTGACCTTTTGTGGGTAGTGGTTCTAATCTTAGTTTAGTTGGGTCTTTGCTTTTTTTGATTTTTTGCTATACTGCTTGGCACCTGTCTCACTCATACTCAGCTCAGGGTTGAATCTCTGTGTTCACACATAGAATTAGGAATTTCCCTTTTCCTGTGCTCTTCTCTTTCCTTCCTTCCTTCCTTTTTCTTTTCTTTTTTTTTTTTTTTTTGCAACAGAGTCTTTCTCTGTCGCCCAAGCTGAAATGCAATGGTGCAGTCTTGGCTCACCGCAACCTCCAGCTCCTGAGTTAGGTGATTTTCATGCCTCCTTCCCAAGGAGCTGGGATTACAGGCATGTGCCACCATGTCCAGCTAAGTTTTGTATTTTTAGAGAGAAGAGGTTTCACCATGTTGCCCAACTCCTGACCTCAGGTGATCTACCTGCCTCAGCCTCCCAAAGTGCTGGATTACAGGCATGAGCCACTGGTCATGCATTCTCAGCCAGGTGTGGTGGCTCACATCCTGCACCTTTCTCTTTGGGAGTCACTGGACTGCACAAGCCTCTTTTCCTGGTTCTCTGGCCAGAAACACAAGGTTCTTATGGAGTTTTAGCCAGCTTTTCTACTGCACCACTGGACAGGTCTGGGCTTGGTGCAAAGTCAGGAGAGCAAAGGGTGATGTAAAATAGGAAACTTCGAGGGAGAGGGGTTGAGTAAAAAAAAAAAAAAGAAAGAAAAAGAAAAATAGGAAACTTCTCCCCTGTACAAGTCTCGTCTGCAAGTTTTGACTCCCCTTCATGTCACCTGCTTTTGTTTGGTTTTCAGCGTCCTCAAGTAGTTGCTTTCGCATTTGATGCAGAGTTTTCACTGTAATCATCAGGAGACACTGCCTGTATTGACTTATCCCACCACGCCAGAACTCCCTGGAATGCTCTTTTGTTTTGATCATGGGTAGTCTTTTCCTGCCACCAGATGCTCCTAAGAGTCCTCTGTCAGTGCAGGTTTTGGGTCATGAGGCACCTGTGAAGGTGTGGGTTTCTCTGGAAGGAACAGTCTGAGGAACTCTAGGGTCCGTAGAGAGAGGTATCATGGATCTTGTCTCCCTCCTGTTACAACAGACAGACACCCACTCCCAGCTGGCTTAAGGAGGAAAGAACACTTGCTGGCGTCTGAGCAGGAGGGCAGGAGTGTTGCCAGAATTCTTCTTCCTCATCTCTTGGCATTGCTTCCCTGCATTGAGTTCATCTCAGGCAGTCCCCTCCAGGGGATGACAAGGTGACTCACCTTGGCCTTCATTTCCCCAATTTGACAACTCCAGAGGACAGCAGGTAGCTTTTCTTCAGTAGTTCCAGCAAACATCCCAAAGCGGGCACTGGACCAGTGACGGTCACCTGCTTGTCTCTGAATCATTTCCTGCGGCTAAGGGCATGGAATGTCCTGCTTGGCCAGCCTGGGTCAGATGCTCAGCCGCCCAGGACTGGGGGTGGGTGGGTGTCAGCCCACCTGGACTTCAGGGACTACAAGGGGGATCCTAAAGTATGCATTCTGGGCCAGATGTGGTGGCTCACAACTATAATCCCTGCAGTTTGGGAGGCTGAGGCAGGCAGATCATTTGAGATCAGGAGTTCGAGACCAGCCTGACCAACATGGTAAAACTCCATCTCTACTAAAAATATAAAAATAGCCCAGTGTGGTGGTGCACACTTGTAATCCCAGCTACAGGAGGGTGAGGTGGGAGAACTGCTTGACTTCATCTCAAAAAAAACCAAAAAGTATGCATGCTCAGCCAGGCTAATATTACCCCAAAGGAAGCAAAATAACTGAGACATGACAGTGGTTTATCAGATTGACAGTATTGTCTGTTGGATTAATATTTCATGGTGGGAGAGGGATTAGAAAAAAATGCCTAAAAGAACTTCTGGCTGGGCGTAGTGGCTCACGCCTATTATCCAAGCACCTTGGAGGCCAAGGTGGGCAGATCTCCTGAGGTCGGGAGTTCAAGACCAGCCTAACCAACATGGTGAAATCCCATCTTTAAAAAAAAAAAAAAAAGAACTTCTATAGGGACTGTTTTTTTTTTTTTGAGACGGAGTCTTGCTCTGTCACCCAGCTGGAGTGGAGTGGTGCGATCTTGGCTCCCTGCAACCTCCACTGCCCAGGTTTAAGCAATTCCCCTGCCTCAGCCTCCCCAGTAGCTGGGACTACAGGTGCTCACCACCACGCCTGGCTGATTTTTTGTATTTTAGTAGAGATGGGGTTTCACCATGTTGGCCAGGATGTTCTTGATCTCCTGACCTCGTGATCTGCCTGCCTTGGCCTCCCAAAGTGCTGGAGTTACAGGCATGAGCCACCTTGCCCAGCCTGGGACTGTAAGTTTTTAAAAAGGTTGAGAAACGCTGCCCTGCAGGAAACTGAGGTGCTATTACCAGAAGAAGGGGTGGATACCAAGCAGCTGAAAACAGCACCTGCCCGTTCGGGAGGAGTTGGAAGCTGAAACCAGCAGCAGGCAGGAGTAGGCCAGTGCGAGGCACCTGCTCAGAGAGACTTGGTGGGGAGCCACGTAGGACGCTGGCCCCTACAAAGCTGAGCCTCTTCTTGGGTCTCTCTGGCCCAGGAGTTCTGGGTTGAAGATTATACTGTAGGAAGCATGGAGAGGACCCTGACCCAGCCACTGTTTGCTGTCTTTGCTGCAGGTGAAGAATGAGGTGGAGAAGCTCCCCCGACAGCAGCGGAAGGAGAGCATGAAGCAGAAGATGGAGGAACACACACAGAAAAAGCAGCTTCTTGTGAGTCCCTGGATTCAACTGCAGAGTACAGGGGCTGGTGCAAGACCTGGAATGGTGACCAGGGCCCCTCTCTGCCTTTTCCCAATCCCTGCCCCTCAAATACCCTGTCCTGAATACCTAAATCTTGCCTCATCCTTCATGGCCTCCATTATCCCCTCCTCCATGCAGCCTTCCTTAATTGACCTGACTCTACCTGTAAGTGAGCTCTTCCATCTCTGGATACCTGAACCCTTTAGCACCTCCTACCTTGTTTTAGGGTTATTTATTTGTAAGTCACATCTCCTTGACCAACCCAGTGTATTCCCTTGCCCACTTGGCATCTTTTAAGTCCAAAGGACATCAAACTCGTGACGTCCAGACCTGGTCCTGTTCTCATGCTCTGAGGGATGCCATCTTCCTTCCTTTCTGGCCTATCATTCCTCACTCCTCCTTTCCTTCCAGTCCTTCCTCACCTGCTGAAGCATGGTATGTATATTTCTTATCTCCTGTCCTTGGATCTATCAGCTTGTCACCATCTGCATAACCCCCCAGCCACTGTCCAGTGACCTCCCAGTGAGACTTCCTGTTGCTGTTTCTCCCCTGCAGTTTATTTTCTCCTGCCTGCAGGTGTGATCAATGTGAATTCCAAACCTGATAACACCACCCTTTTCCCCACAGCCCTGTGCCTTAAAACCCTTCAGTGACTCCCGAATTGTCCCTAAGATAAGCGCCCGCCTCCTTACTGTGCCCTGCCCGGCCTCTCCAGCCTTTTCATCCCTTGCCAGAATGCTCCCATTTTCCCCCACTAGCATGTCTTTGTGTATCTTGCTTCCTCAGCCCCCAAAGCAGAGAATATTTGAGTCCACATTTGCAAATGCTTTGTATATTACCTGGTTCAGCATTCATGGCTTACCAGGGTAGGGGCTATTCATTTTCCCATTCACAGAAGAGGAAACTAAGTCTGACAGAGGTGACATTGCTGAGTTCACAGTCGGGGAGGGGGTCGAGGCCTCATGCTTGTGTTCTTTCCCGGGCAATCTGTGACCTGTCCTGTGACACCACGATTAGGAAGAGAGTGCAGGGCTGGCGAGGGCAGGGCACACAGGCCCTCATCCACGCAGAGGGACAGAGGATTGTGTGGCTTGCTGCATGGAGAGCCTCGAAGATGTGCGCATCCTTTGGCTTGAATTTTCTGCTTCTAGAAATCCTGAGAAAGTCTAAAAATCCAGAAGGAATTATCAGAGGTTCACAAATACTTAGCTACCAGAATTTGAAGAAGCCCTGTTTAAAATAGATAAAACCTGGAAACATGCTATTGTTTATTGGATGAACAGAGTGCATCCATTGCACGAAATGTTTTCAGTTATTGACACACACGATAGAAAATCACATTATTTATTTATTTATTTTATTGTTTTGAAACAGAGTTCCCACAACTGGGAGTTGCATCCTTGTTTTATTTTTTTTTTTGAGATGGAGTCTCACCCTGTTGCCCAGGCTGGAGTGCATTGGTGCCATCTCTGCTCACTGCGACCTCCGCATCCTAGGTTCAAGTGATTCTCTTGCTTTGGTCTCCCCAGTAGCTGAGACTACAGGTGCCCACCACCACACCTGGCTAATTTTTTTATTTTTAGTAGCGATGGGGTTTCACCACGTTAGCCAGGCTGGTCTCGAACTCCTGACCCCAGGCAATCCACTTGCCTCGGCCTCCCAACGTGCTGGGATTATAGGCATGAGCCACCGCGCCTGGCCGGAAGATCACATTATAACATGGAAAGATTTTTTTAGGTAATTTTTTAAATTGTGGTAAAATAGTTGTAAGATAAAATTGACTGTCTTTACCATTATTAAGTGGACAGGGTAGTGTGTTAAGCACATTCACATTAGGCGGCCATCACCACCACTCATCTCCAGAACTCTTTCATCTTGTGAAACTGAAACTCTGACTCATCAAACCGTAACTCTCCATTTCTTCTCCTCCAACCCTTGGTAACTTTACTCTGCTTTCTCTGAATTTGACTACTCTAGGTACTCATATAAGTGGAATCATACAACATTTGTCCTTTTGTGATTGGCTTATTTCACTTAGCGTAATATCCTCAAGGTCCATCCATGTTGTTGCATGTGTCAGAATCTCCTTCCTTTTTAAGGCTGAATAATATTCCACTGTGTAGATATAGCACATGATGTTTATCCATTTATCTCTGCATGGACATGTTGGTTGTTTTCATCCCTTGACTATTGTGAATAATCCTGCTGTGAACTTGCGTGCTCACATATCTCTTTGAGCCCTTTTGAATGATTTTTGTCACACAATAATAATAAGAGCTGTAGATATACCTGTACAGACATACCACAGTTGTCAACCCATTTTTACTAATTCCATGGTTTCTACATTTTTTTATTTTAATTTTTTTTTTACTCTTTATTATGGAAACTTAAAAATATAGGAATAGGGAGGCCGAGGCAGGCAAATCACTTGAGGTCAGGAGTTCAAGGCCAGCCTGGGCAACGTAGTGAAACCCCGTCTCCACTAAAAATACAAAAATTAACTGGGTGTGGTGGTGCATGTCTATAGTCCCAGCTACTCAGGAGGCTGAAGCAGGAGAATCACTTGAACCTGGGAGGCCAAGGTTGCAGTGAGCCAAGCTCAAGTGCCTACACTCCAGCCTGGGTGGCAGAGCGAGACCCTCTCTCAAAACAAAACAAAACATAGAAACATAGGAATAGGTATAATGGTATAATGCACTGCCATATACCTATCACCTAACCTCAGTAATACCACTTCATGTCCACTCATTCATTCCCTGACCCCAGGGTATTATTTTGAATCAAATCCCAGACATTATATTATTTTACCTGTCAAACATCACAAAAATAACCACCATACTGTAAACATACCTAGCAAATTCAACAATAATTGCTGAACAGCATTACATTGTCAGCATTCCAGTTTCCAGTTGTCTCATGAATGTCATCTTTTAAAAAAAATAAAGTTGTTCTTTGAGCCAGGATCCAGATGAAGCCCACATGCTGAAATTATTTGATGTATCTCTAAGTCTCTCTTCAATTTCCCCTCCACCAGTTTCTTTTTCATTTTCTGAATTTTCTTCTCTGATCACGTAGGCTTTTCTTCCATAATAGGAAGAGATATTGAGGTGCCCAAGCCAGCTCTGAGTAAAGCCCTGTCCTCCTCCCTCCCCATAGGACCGGGACTTTGTAGCCAAGCAGAAGGAGGACCTGGAGCTGGCCATGAAGAAGCTCACCGCCGACAACAGGCGGGAGATCTGTGACAAGGAGCGTGAATGCCTCATGAGGAAGCAGGAGCTCCTTCGAGGTGGGGGTGTGCAAGTGGCAGTGCTGTCTTGGCCCAGAGTTTCTGTCAATGGACATCCCAGCCCTGGGAAGTGGGGATGGGCAAGAAAACCCCCCAGGCCTTCTCCATCCCCAAAACTAAACATCATTCTTCATGGTGAAACCTGGGGAAAAACCCCACTGAAATACGGAACAAGGCAAGGACAGCAGTTGTCACCAACACTATTTGACATTATTCCAGAAGTCAAGGGAATAACAGAAAGAAAGGAACAGGCCTAGAGTGGGTGGAAATTGTTAATAAGCGAGCTGGATTTACGGAAGGCGGAGACAGGATAGGGAGCCCCATCCAACAGCTTGGCGTGGACTGAGCAACCACTCAGCCAGGCTGTTTTTCTACTTTATATCATTGAATCCTCACCTAACACTGTGAAGCTGGGCCTAGGTTATCTATCCCCATTTCTGTAGATGAGGAGACTGAGGCTTGGAGACTTACTATTCTTTGGCCAAGTATCTTAGTTCATTCAAGCTGCTACGACAAATTACCACGGACTGGGTGGCTTAGAAACAGCAGATACTCATTTCTTACATTTCTGGAGGCTGGGAAATCTGCAGTCTAAGTGCCAGCGCATTTGCGGTCTGGAGAAGGTTTACTCTCTGCTTCATAGTTGGCTCCTTCTCACTGCATCCTCGCATAGCAGAAGGGAGACTAGCTGTGGAGTCTCTTTGGGTTTTGAGGGTTTTGCGGTTTTGTTTTGTGGTGTTTTTGAGACAGGGTCATGCTCTGTGGCTGAGGCTGGAGTGCAGTGGCACAGTCATGGCTCACTGTGACCTCCGCCTCTGGGGCTCAAGCAGTCCTCCCACCTCAGACTCCCAAGTAGCTGGGACTACAGGCATGTGCTACCATGCTTGGATAATTTTTGTGTTTTTGGTATAAATGGGGTCTTCTATGTTGTCCAGGCTGGTCTCGAAGTCCTGGGCCCAAGCAATCTGCCTGCCTCGGCCTCCCAAAGCACTGGGATTACAGGCATAAGCCAACGTGCCCAGTCTGGGGTCTCTCTTATTAATAAAGGGGCACTGACCCCATTTATGAGGGCTTCACCCTCATGACCTAATCACCTCCCAGAAGGCCCTGCCTCCTTATACCCTCACCTCAGGGGTTAAGATTTCAACACACACATTTAGAGGGGACACAAACGTTCAAGCCATAATACTAAGATTGCACAGTTGATGGGTGATAGAGCTGGGCCTACCCTGGTGCTGTTCTGAGTTCAAGGGTTTTCAGGGCTGACTGAAGAAAAATAAATGACCACAAGATGGCAGTAGCATACAAGCAGCTTTGCTTAGGGGGGCATTTGGACAGCTTTACATGCCAAGGGGCTCCCATACAGAATGAGGCCTTCTAGAGATGATGGTGCAGGCCATCACCCAGCAGGGGACGAGGGCAAAAGAACTCTTGGGCAAGAAGGGGACCTGAGAGGGGGGTCACATGTCTAGAGGAGTTGTCCAGCATAGAGAGCTCAGATGGGGCATCTCTGGGTCAGAGAACTGCAAAGGGCAGTGGGGTCTTTATGTAACCCTTGGGTCTGCCTTCTCTATGGCTAGCAGATATAAGGTGCAGTTTCACAGGGTATAGAAAGTAGGCAGGCTCCAAATGGCTAAATATCTGCTTGGTTTGAGCTTTTTTTTTTTTTTTTTTTTAGACGGAGTCTCTGTGTTGTCCAGGCTGGAGTGGAGTGATGCTATCTTGGCTCACTGCAACTTCCACCTCCCAGGTTCAAGCAGTTCTTCTGCCTCAGCCTCTGTAGTAGCTGAGATAATTACAGGTTTGCACCACCACACCCAGCTACTTTTTATATTTTTAGTAGAGATGGAGTTTAACCATGTTGGCCAGGCTGGTCTTGAACTCCTGACCTCAAGTAATCCACCCGCCTTGGCCTCCCAAAGTGATGGGATTACATACATGAACCACCTCGTCTGGCCCAGCCTGTTTGAGCTTTTTTGTATAACTATATACATGCTTTTGGGGTTTTCTTTTTTTTTTGAGACCAAGTCTCACTCTGTCACCCAGGCTGGGGTAAAGTGGCACAATATTGGCTCACTCCAGCCTCTGCCTCCACTGTTCAAGCAAGTCTCCTGCCTCAGCGTCCCGAGTAGCTGGGATTACACGTGCATACCACCACACTCAGCTAATTTTTTTATTTTTACTAAAGACTGGGTTTTGCGGTTTTACTCAAGCTGGTTTTAAGCTCCTGGGCTCAAGCAATCTGCCCACATCGGCCTCCCAAAGTGCTGGGATTACAGGCGTGAGCCACTGTGCCCAGCCATACATATTATGTTTTAAAAATAACAGGGGGATGGATACAAATTTGAGTTTGGTGCCTGTGGACTTTTGACGGTCTGGGCTTACTGTGAGGAAGTAAACAACATGAGGCCAATATCCCAGGGCCATTTATAAAACAGACCTCATCCAGGCCTTTGATGACCAATGCGGTTAAGCAACACACATCTCTTATTATTTGGTGTGGATCACATTGAAAACGTCCGTAAGTTTTCAATATTCTGCATAGAGCACAGTTGTTTGAGAAAAGCCTTCACTTCTTTTTCCTATCCCATGATGTTGGTAAGAACCGCCCTATTTACAGAACTATGGTTCTGATTTTGGTGTGGAAGGCAAAATCACGATTCTCATATACCAAAAGCAGATAGCATTTTGCACAGAACAGGAATGCAGTGAAATAAACAACATTCGAAGTGAACCAAGCATAATCTCCTGTCTCAAAGGATGTGAGATTCTCCCTTTGACCCCAGGTCTCCACCTGGGTGCTGTGCATAAGAGTGGATTAATCGGGGCCGGGTGTGGTGGCTCAAGCCTGTAATCCCAGCACTTTGGGAGGCCGAGGCGGGTGGATCACGAGGTCAAGAGATGGAGACCATCCTGGTCAACATGGTGAAACCCCGTCTCTACTAAAAATACAAAAAATTAGCTGGGCATGGTGGCCCGTGCCTGTAATCCCAGCTACTCAGGAGGCTGAGGCAGGAGAATTGCCTGAACCCAGGAGGCGGAGGTTGCAGTGAGCCGAGATTGTGCCATTGCATTCCAGCCTGGGTTACGAGCGAAGCTCCGTCTCAAAAAAAAAAAAAAGAGTGGATTAATCGACCTCCAGTGATAAAACGCCAGATACCATTGTCTCCATAACACATGCATGGGAAGTGCAGGGGACAAGGAGGATTTCACCCATTTTTCAGAGGAGGAAATATTGACAAGGGGCCATTGTGTCTTCTTCATGGGGTCTCATCTGAGCCCTTCCCATTTGCCCATCAGGAAAGCAGAGATGCAGTGTGGATTGCACTTAAAAGTGTCTCCCAAGGACGCTCCTCCCTCCATGGTATAGCTATGTCCATTTGGCAGAGATGGCAGCTGATGCCTAGAAAACCTCTCCATTCCTAATCCCACTGATGGAGCTGGGTACCAGCCTACATCTGCAGTTTCTCTGGCTCCTGACTTTGAACACTTCCTGCTATACCATGTTGCTGGGAGCTATCATTCCTTAGGCTTACAGGAGGTTTCTATACCTCAGCTCAGATCAGCGAACATGGTCTAATGAGGTAGCACACGTGGCGATTCCTGAGCCCAGCAGGTTGGTACAGAGGGGTGGGGCCGAGGGCCTGTCAAGTCTCCGGCTGCTAGCACCTCACCAGGTGGGTGGCATGTCCTCCGCAGACCGGGAAGCGGCCCTGTGGGAGATGGAGGAGCACCAGCTGCAGGAGAGGCACCAGCTGGTGAAGCAGCAGCTCAAAGACCAGTACTTCCTCCAGCGGCACGAGCTGCTGCGCAAGCATGAGAAGGTAAGGTTGCCAGCGGCGTGGGGCTCCGGTCCGCTGCTGGGCCGACCCGGGAGAGCTATGAAGCTGTGCGTGATGGGGCACCTCGTGGGTACCATCTGTGCCCCTGAGAGGAGCCAGGGCTTGCTGCAGTGAGGCCCCAGGAGTTCTCCAGGGGTGTCCTGCTTCAGCTCGAGGGACTGGGAATAGGGGAAACCATGCGATGGCCCAAGCAGCTCCCTCACTGACTCTTGTTACTTGCTGTGATTGTTTTTTTCTTTCCTTTTCTTTTTTTTTTTTTGAGGCAGTGTCTCACTCCATCACTCAGGCTGGAGTGCAGGGGCACAATCTTGGCTCACTGCAACCTCCATCACCCAGGTTCAAGTGATTCTCCTGCCTCAGTCTCCCAAGTAGCTGGGATTACAGGCGCTTGCCACCACACCCAGCTAATTTTTGTAATTGTTAGTAGAGTCAGGCTTTTATCTTGTTGACCAGGCTGGTCTTGAACTCCTGACTCCAAGTGATCTGCCCGCCTTGGCCTCCCAAAGTGCTGGGATTACAGGCATGAGCCACCGCACCTGCCCGGGGTATGTCTGCCTTTGCTCTTTTTTCTCTTTCCCTCCTTGTCTTCCCTTTGCATTTCCTCTTTGTTTTTCTCTTTCTTGTGTATCCCCTCAGAATACTTGTAGATCTCCACTTAAACACTACCTCTACTGGGAAGCCTTCCCTGAACTCCCCAGGTGAGAGCCCTGCTCTGTGCGGCCAAGCACCCTCTCCTGTGGGAGTTGTCTGTCTCAGTTCAGCCTCCATAGTGGGACAGTGACGGACAGACCAAGGTCTGGATGCACAGCAGCTGTGGACAATTCCAGTTTCTTATCTGAGTGCAGTGATGGGAGTCAGCATAGGGCCATGGGAGTTCAGAATAAGGCTACCCAACCAGGTGAGGAAATCAGGGAAGGCTTCTTGGAGGAGGTGATGCCCATGCTGAGCTTTGAAATAGGTGTTAGGGGAAGGAAAAAAATTTAAATGTATCAAGTTTTTTTTACAATATAAATTCACATCTGCCGTCACTAATGATGAACCATCCCTTTTAGTGTACATTTTGCTTTGCGATACTAGCTAATGATGGCATGCCACCATTGATTAGATGAGAAGGCATCTAGAAGATAAGAATCCAAAATATTAACAAGAATTTTTAAAGTGAGAAAAAAAAATGTTACTAGCTGTAGAAGTAAAATAACAGGCCAGGCATGGTGGCTCACGCCTGTAATCCAAGCACTTTGGAGGCCAAGGCGGGCAGATCACCTGAGGTAAGGAGTTCAAGATCAGCCTGACCAACATGGTAAAACCCTGTCTTTAAAAAAAAAAAAAAAAAAAAAGTAAAATAACAAACTTTGCTTCACTGAACATTGTGGGCTTCGTTGGTCCTGGGCCCCCAAATGGAGTGTGGGGGCCTTTAGCCTCTGACCACACTCTTGAGGGCAGAGTGCAGCTGACCTCAGTGCCGCACCCACCCCCCACCCCAGGAGCTGGAGCAGATGCAGCGCTACAACCAGCGCATGATAGAGCAGCTGAAGGTGCGGCAGCAGCAGGAAAAGGCGCGGCTGCCCAAGATTCAGAGGAGTGAGGGCAAGACTCGCATGGCCATGTATAAGAAGAGCCTCCACATCAACGGTGCAGGCAGCGCGGCTGAGCAGCGTGAGAAGATCAAGCAGGTGGGAGCCGGTGTGCGGGTCTGCGGGTGTGCTGGGGTGCAGGCAGGGCCAGGTTTGGCGGGGCCTGGGCTTTATATGATTTGGGAGAATATGAAACAAGATACAGGCTGGGCGTGATTACAGGCTCACGTCTATAATCTCAACATTTTGAGAGGCCAAGGCAGGTGGGTCACTTGAGCCCAGGAGTTTGAGAGCAGCCTGAGCAACATAGCAAAACCCCGTCTCTACAAAAAATAATTTTAAAAATAATTAGCCAGGCATGCTGGCTACTTGGAAGGCTGAGGTGGGAGGATCGCTTGAGCCTGGGAAGCGGAGGTTGCAGTGAACTGAGATCTCGCCATTGCACTCCAGCCGGGCAACAAAGCGAGACTCCATCTCAAAATAAAAAGGCCACACATGGTGGCTCACTCCTGTAATCCCAGCACTTTGGGAGGCCGAGGCGGGCAGATCAGGAGTTCGAGACCATCCCTGCCAATATGGTGAAGCCCTGTCTCTACTAAATACAAAGATTAGCTGGTATGGTGGCGCATGCTTGTAATCCTAGCTGCTTAGGAGGCTGAGGCAGGAGAATTGCTTGGGAGGTTGCAGCGAGCCAAGTTCGCACCATTGCACTCCAGCCTGGGTGACAGAGCAAGACGCCATCTCAAAAAAAAAGAAAGATACACCTTGACCCTCCCACCATAAGGTCTTGGCGGTGGGGCGGGGCGGGGGGAGGGGTTGTGTGAGTCACCAGGTGTGCCCTGGAAGCTTCATCAGCCTCATGGTAAATTCACCTCTGTGTGTGGACAGAGGCGGGAGCGTGGTGCTGTGCTGCAGATTGTCCTGCGTTGTTCCCTTCCACACTCCCATGCTTTTATCTGGGCATCTTCCCCACATCCTGTGTTGCCGTGTGGCTTGGGCACATGGGCCCTGTGATTCCTGCCTGGCACACACACTTTCCTGGCATATGTAACATTACAGTGTCACGTCCCCACCATCCTGGGAGCTCCTTGAGAGCAGGGCTGGATCTCAGCTTAGGGTGAGGACTTACCTTAACACGGGCACTGCCTGGGGTGGTGCCGGGTACTGGGGCTGGGCACAGACCAGTCCCCTGAAGGGTCTCCCTGGGCCAGGGCTGAGGTGGGCTACCTACCCAACCAGCCAGGCCCTGGCCCTGGCCCCCTGAGGCACCCACCCTCTCTCTGGTGCAGTTCTCCCAGCAGGAGGAGAAGAGGCAGAAGTCAGAGCGGCTGCAGCAACAGCAGAAACACGAGAACCAGATGCGGGACATGCTGGCCCAGTGTGAGAGCAACGTGAGCGAGCTGCAGCAGCTGCAGGTACTGCCCTGCCTGCCCCCGCCCCCAGCTGCCTCGGTTTCCCCAAGGCCATCAGCTCTCAGGGGGCCAGAAACTCCACAGCAGGGAAGGATCTTCATCAGCGAAGCCCAGGGTGGGCGGGTTGCAATCCTGCCATGCTGCTCTCAGGCTTTTGAGGTTGGGCAAATCATAAGGCCCTCCCAAGCCATAGCTCCCACACCTCTAACACGGATGTGGGGTGGGGATGCCCATTCCCGCTGTGCAGGACTGGGGCGAGGACTTGTGACTGCAGCGATGCTGAAGCCGGCAGTGGGCTGCGGCACGGCTTCTGAGTCATCGCTGTTTTGGGCAAAGGCAGTTGGGGTGTGGCCGAACCCCTTATGGGCTGCTTTCCTGTCATAATTCCTGACCTCTTCAAGCTTCCTAGCCCCAGGAGCTGGCATTTGAAGCCCCCTTGTGGGGATGGGGCCCGACATGAACCTCAGGAAATTACTCGGACTGTTGGACCCATCGAGCAGTTTCTGGAGAGGCAGGGAGGCGTGGAGGAAACATTCCAGGTGTTGATGCCTGCCCGGCAGGGTTCTGCTGCTTACCACGGTGGGACTTTTGGCCAAGCCACTCACCTTCCGCATCTGTTTTCCTATCCCTGCCTTGGGTTTCTGTGAGCACTAAGAGCCCATATGAAGTGCCGAGCACAGCTCCCAGCACGCCACAGGAACTCAGCGCTGCTGTGATTATTACTTCTCACTCAGCCGAACTCTAAACTCCCGCAAGCCTCTAGCATGCAACCCAAAATGAAAGTCTCCAATTTTCCAACCCCAGTAGGGTAGTGGTATCTGGATAAAGGCACTTTCCAGGCCAGGCGTGGTGGCTCACACCTGTAATCCTAGCACTTTGGGAGGCAGGTGGATTACTTGAGGTCAGGAGTTAGAAAGCAGCTTGACCAAGAGATGGTGAAACCCCATCTCTACTAAAAATACAAAAATTAGCCAGGTGTGGTGGCAGGCACCTGTAATCCCAGCTACTCGGTAGGCTGAGGCAGGAGAATCACTTAAGCCCAGGAGATGGAGGTTCCAGTGAGCCAAGATCATGCCACTGCACTCCAGCCTGGGTGACAAAGTGAGATCCAGTCTCAAAAAAAAAAAAAAGTTGCAAATTACCACACATCCCCACCATAGAGTTAATAAGAACTGTTAACATATTCTAGACTATTCCTCCAGGCACCTCTTGGTGCATGTAACATACATATAGAGGTTGAATAAATGGGGTTTATAGTCAAGAAGAAGTAATAAATGAACGATGCTGGTGCCCTTGTGGCCACAGTGTGAAGTGTGTCTCAGTCTTTAGGGCCTGTGTCTTTTTCTAATTTCTCACCTGTTTTGCCTGGAATTTGTTCCAGAATGAAAAATGCCACCTCCTGGTAGAGCATGAGACCCAGAAGCTGAAGGCCCTGGACGAGAGCCATAACCAGAACCTGAAGGAATGGCGGGACAAGCTTCGGCCGCGCAAGAAGGTAACCATGTCTCGGCTGGTGGGCTCAGTCCCGGACTCTGCTCGTGCCGTGCACAGGCCTCTGGCCAGAACATGTTAGGTCTCCTTGTTTTGGTGGGCTCTTGCTTTGTGGCACCATAAAATGGATCTCCAGCCTGAGAGACGGGGGAACTTTCTAACCCTTTGTGGATGAATGCCCCGCAGCTTCCACCCATGGAAGGGCATCCTCTTGCTTGGCTCCCTCTCACGGACCAAAGGACTCCTGCCATGTAGTGTCCACAGAGGATGCTGCAGTGAGTCGAAGCAGCCATGCTGCCAGGCCAAAGCCCAGCCTATGGGGATTTTCTCTTAAGAGGAGGTTATTCTGAGAGGTCAGAACCCAGCACCAGATGGACTCCTTGCCAGTTTAGTTTCCTGTTGCTGTGTGATGAACTGCCACATACTCAGCAGCTTCAGCCAACGTCCATTTACTCTCTTCCAGTGATGGCAGTCACGAGTCTGGGTGGGCTTGCCTGGGTTCTCTGCTCAGGGACTCACCAGACTGCAGTCAAAGTTGTCAGCATGGCTGGCTCTTAGCTAAAGTTTCTGGGGAAGAATCACTTCCAAACCCATTCAGCTTTCCACAGAATCCAGTTCCTTGTGGCTGTAGATCTGAGGTCCCTGTTTCCTTGCTGGCTTCAGACAGGGGTTACTTTCTTTCCTAGAGGCCACTGGCATTCCTTATCATGTGGCCTCCTCCACCTGCAAATAGCAAATATGCATTCAGACCTTCTCGTGCTTTGAATGTCTCTGATGTCCCCTTCTGCCACCAGCCAAAGAAAACTCTTTTAAAAGGCTCATGTGATTAAATCAGGCTCATGGGGTAGTTTCCCTGCTTGCAGAAATGATATTACATTCAGAGGTTCCACCCACACTCAGATGAGTGGGGAGTTATACGAGAGTGAGTCACAGGGGTCACTTTTGAATTGCGCCTGCCATACTTTCACCTTGAAAACCCACGCCCTCACTCAGTCCTGCATCTTTCTTTACTGCCCTGTCACTCTCTCTCCTTCTTTGCAAAGCATTTTGAGCAGCCCATTACCCTGTCGCAATATCTTCCTCAGCCCACTGAGAAATTTCTTTCACGGCCCACTGCAGCCGCTCCTGGCAAGGTCAATAACAGCATCCTGGTGGCCGACTCCCATGGTTACGATTTGCTGGACTTGACCTCCTGGTGGCGGTCAATGCCCTCAGTCACTCTCTTCCTTGCCTGTCTTGTCCTCTCAGGGCCACCTTCTGCTGGGTTTCTTCTCTGTCACTGGCCCCTCTGCAACGTCCCTCCTGACTCATCTGTTGATTTCCTTATTTTATTTATTTTATTTTTTATTTAGAGACAGAGTTACACTCTGTCGCCTGAGGCTGGAGTGCAGTGGCGCGATCTCGGCTCACTGCAACCTCCACCTCCCAGTTCAAGCAATTCTCCTGCCTCAGCCTTATGAGTAGCTGGGATTACAAGTGCTGGCTACCACTCCCAAAGTTCTGAGATTACAGGAGTGAGCTCAGGAGTTCGAGACCAGACTGGGCAACATAGTGAAATCTCATCTCTACACAAAATACAAAAATTAGCCAGGCACAGTGGCACATGCCTATGGTCGCAGATACTCTGGAGCCTGAGATGGGAGGATCACATGAGGCCAGGAAGTCAAGGCTACAGTGAGCCATGATTGCACGATTGCACTCTAGCCTGGGTAACAGATTGAGACCCTGTCAGAAAAAAGAAAATTGAGAAACTGTCAAGTTCAGGCTGGTGGACACAGGTTTTCCAAAGTTCTAATTTTTGCTTGAATGTTCAAATTTTGTCATTAGCAATAAATATCCTTGGTTGTTTTCCTTGAAGTGATCCGCACAATTTGTTCATTTTCAAGAACGTGTTTGCTAAAGACTCACGTGTGTCAGTTTTTTTTTAATATGATCTTGCTATGTTGCCCTGGGCTCAAGCAGTTCTCCTGTCTCAGCCTCCCAAGCAGCTGGAACTGTAGACACATGCCCCTGGTTGTCAGTTACTTTTTTTTAATAAAAATGATATTTGGCCCGGGCATGGTGGCTCACGCCTGTAATCACAGCACTTTGGGAGGCCAAGGCGGCTGGATCACTAGGTCAAGAGATCGAGACCACCCTGGTCAACATGGTGAAACCCCGTCTCTACTAAAAATACAAAAAATTAGCTGGGCATAGTGGCGCATGCCTGTAATCCCAGCTACTCAGGAGGCTGAGGCAGGAGAATCGCCTGAACCCAGGAGGTGGAGGTTGCAGTGAGCCGAGATCACACCATTGCACTCCAGCCTGGGTAACAAGAGCGAAACTCTGTCTCAAAAAAAAAATAAAATAAAATAAAAAATAAATAAAAATTATATTCTAGGCTGGGCACAGTGCTCATTCCTGTAATCCCAGCACTTTGGGAGGCCGAGGCGGGTGGATCACCTAAGGTCAGGAGTTCAAGACCAGCCTGGCCAACGTGGTGTAAACCCTGTCTCTACAAAAAAAAAAAAAAAAAAAAAAAAAAAAAAAGATATTCTGTAGAATAAGTGGCTAGTTCAGCTCACAACTTAAGACAATTGCAAAGAACAAAATCTCTAGACAGCCATCATGCTTTGATGGGCAGCAGACATGCCTTATGCATGGTTTCCATTTCCTCACACAGGACGTTAAAGGGCCGTGACATTGAAGGTCAGGATTTAATAAAATGAACCATTTGTATTGCACCATCAAGGTGATCTTAAGTGCAATTGGCTTTATTGTTTTAACTGAAAAACTTTCTAAAATATTGTGAGTGGGACTGGCTTGGCAGCTCACGCCTGTAATCCCAGCACTTTGGGAGGCTGAGGTGGGTGGATCACCTGAGGTCAGGAGTTGGAGACCAGCCTGGCCAATATGGCGAAACAGTCTCTACTAAAAATACAAAAATTAGCCAGGCATGGTGGCAGGTGCCTGTAATCCTAGCTATTCATGAGGCTGAGGCAGAAGAATTGCTCGAACCTGGGGCGGTGGGGGACAGAGGTTACAGTGAGCCAGATCATGCCACTTCACTCCAGCCTGGGTGAAAGAGTGAAACTCCATCTCAAAAAAAAAAAGATAAAAATAAATAAATACTGCGAGTGCACAGTGGTGAAGAATACCTCTTCAGTTTGGTGCCATCGTCTTAATCCTCCAGAAGCTCTAGAAGTTTTACCCATCATTGCTTTAGTACCATTAGCATGAATATCAAAACAGTGAAAAGACAAACTGTGTATATTAATAGGAAACTAGAACTTGCTGCCCCTCCCCTACCCCGAGAAAGGGTTTTGGGGCCCCTAGGGGTTCATGGACCACACTTTGAGAACCACTCTTCTTGCCTTATCTCCTGTGAGTCTCATCCCCCACTTGTGCTCTGAACAGATTTCAGTACCCAAAGAGATCTCCATACCATATGCACTTCCCTTGTTCCCTGCTGGGCTTTTGCCCAGCCTCTTCCCCTTGCCAGGAATCCTCTACCCAGCAGCCTTGCTTGGCCATCTTCTGTTTGTCTTCATTATTCAGGTCTCCCCCACGGAGGCTGTGTGGTGTCTCTTCTGGGCTCCAGCAACTCCCTGTCCCTGCCCCTGTCATGGTGCTTATCACGTGGGATTGCATTCGGGTGTTGTCGTTAGCTTGATCATTCATTCATTTGTGTATTAATGCAACACATATTTCTTGAGCACCTACTAAGTGCCCTACACTGTTTCGGGCTCTAGAGACACTACACTAAACAAAAGGGACAAGTCCATGCTCTCAGGAAGGACTGACCTAGTGAGAGGCCAAGAAGCGGGGAGGGAAACAGCATGCAGGGTCACAAAGCTGGGCTGCTTCAGACAGTGTGGCAGGAAGATGTCTAAGAAGATGACATCTGAGCAAAGATCTGAAGGACCTGAGGGAGGGAGCTGTGCAGCTGTGGGGGGTCTCAGGGGGACATTCCCAGCACAGGGAAGAGCAACTGCAAAGGCCCGGATGCTTTGCTTATGAAACAAGGAGGCCCCTGCAGCCAGAGAGAGTGGCAGTTGGGAGGTAATAGGAGCTAAAGTCAGGGAGGTGGAGCTACTGGAGGGTTCTGAGCAGGACAGAGTAGTCTGACTCATGGTTTTGTTTTTGTTTTCGTTTGAGACTGAGTCTCGTTCTATCACCCAGGCTGCAGTGCAGTGGCGCAATCTTGGCTCACTGCAACCTCCGCCTCCTAGGTTCAAGCAATTCTCCTGCCTCAGCCTCCCAAGTACCTGGGATTACAGGCATTCGCCACCACACCGGCTAATTTTTGTATTTTTAGAAGAGATGGGGTTTCACCATATTGGTCAGGCTGGTCTCAAACTCCTGACCTCATGATCCGCCCACCTCAGCCTCCCAAAGTGCTGGGATTACAGGCATGAGCCACCATGCCCAACACTGACTCATGTTTTGAAGAGGATCCCGCTGGTTGCCCTCAGGGGTCAAGAGTGGAAGCAGAGAGACCAGTAAGGAAACTATCGTGATAACCTTGGTGAGAAATGATGGCAGCTTGGACTAGGATAGTATCGGAGGTGGAGGGAATTTGTCCATTTCCTCTCTAGCTGGCACTCCAGATGTTCTTGCAGTTCACCAGCTTTGGGATCTTAGGCAAGCCGTCTATCTTCCCCACTCTGGACCTGTATTAGCCTTTATTTATTTTAAGGAATTGGCTCACACAATTGTGGGGGCTGAGTCTGAAATCTGCAGGACAGGTCAGCAGGCTGGAGACCAGGTGGTTGTTGCTGTCTAAAGGCAGAATTCCTTCTTTCTTCTTTTCTCTCAAGGCCTTCAACTGATTGAAGAGGCCCACCCTCATGATGAAGGGTAATACTCAGAGTTTACCTATTTAAATGTATTTTCACATCTAGAAAATACCTTTATAGTGATATCTAGTCTGGTGTTTGACCAGACAGGTGGATACCATGGCCTTGCCAAGTTGACACATAAATTTAACCCGGCACAGTGGTACATACCTGTAATCCCAGCTAGGGAGGCTGAGGCAGGAGAATCGCTTGAACTCAGGAGGCAGAGGTTGCAGTGAGCCAAGGTCACATCTCTGCACTCCAGCCTAGGCGACAAACCAAGACTCTGCCTCAAAGAAAAAAAACAAACATGGGGCCTCAGTGTGGTTGTTTGTATGGTGAAGCGATCGAGACTGCAATGTTATGCCAAAAGTTGCCAGCACATAGTACAGGCCAAGGACATACTCATTCCCTTCCATTCCCCTAAACTCTCTGAGGAGAGAGCTGCCCAAATTACCCCTAATCTCATGCCCCTGGGTCCTGAAGTCCTGAGGTTTGTGAGGTTTGTTCTGCCATGTTACATCAGTTCTGCTTACTGGAACTGTGGTCTGAACAGGAGGCAGCTGCCCATCTCAGCTGTGTAATGGCCTTGGAAGTCCTTGAATTGAGGTCTCCCTCCCCGCGCTAATGGAGCTTTCTGGCTGGAAGCTGGCCAAGGTCCCAGACTTCTTGTTAACAGGCCCATGCTCATCAGTTTCTGTAACCATGGTCTGCTGGGACTTTCAATACTCGATACTCAAATCAATAATATTCCTGCTGACATAGGTTGGTTCTGCAATCCGGAAAGAAACGTTCACCTGGTTCTCTTACCTGGGGGATCTATACCTGTGGCACGTCCTCAGAGAGTCTGGAAATGAATGATCACATCGCCTCTAGCTGTTGCCTTACATCTCATTGTTTCAAAGAGGGGCCTGGGCTCAGGGGAGGTACCGCAAGTGTGCATTTGGACTTTGCCTATGGGGGCTGCCTCTGCAGAATTCTTTATAGAATTCTTCTGTCATTAGCTGCTTGGGTTTCTGCTGGAACAATGACCCAGAGGTGATGATTTTCATTTGAGAATAAATGGTCTTTTACATTCTTGCATTATGTCAGTAGCCTGTAAACCCCCTGCCTTGTATGGAGGCAGGGGAGGTGATTGTACATTGTGGAGTATTTTTAGAAAAATTCAGATGTATTTCAAGTAAATACAAAATATCTGGCAGAGTCAATAAAGTGTTGCTTGGGTCAGTGTTAATACAGAATGTGGCCTCAAACAAGTCAAATCTTCCCTCCTCCTGAATCCTGGTTTTTCGGGCTGTAAAGTGTAGACAATACTTATTTCCTTAAAGTAGGTGTTAACAATCTACTGCCAATGGCCTAATCTGGCCCACCACCTATATTTGTAAATAAAGTTTTATTGGAACACAGCCATGCTCATTCATTTACAGATTGTCTATGGCTGATTTTGTGCTATGGTGGCAGTTGAGTAGTCACGACAGAGACCAAATATGTCTTGCAAAGCCAAAAATGTTTACTTTCTGTCACATAACAGAAAAAAGATCACTGACTCTGGCCTTAGAAGGTTGTATTGAGAAATATATGTGGTGGGTAGACAGAATAGTGCTTAAACAGCCCAGGCTTCGGAGTCACACGGGTGGGATAAAGTCCTAACTAGTTGTGAGACTTGGGCAAGTTACTAAACCACTCTGCTAAATGTTGGTATTCCTAGAGCTGAGATCCCAAACTCATAGCCTATGTGCTGGAATTGGCTTACAGACATGGTATGTTTGGCCAACATCATGATGTACCTTTTTTTTTTTTTTTTTTTTGCGACAGAGTCTTGCTCTGTCACCCAGGCTGGAGTGCAGTGGCATGATCTCAGCTCACTCCAACTTCTGCCTCCCCTCGAGTGATTTTCCTGCATCAGCCTCTTGAGTAGCTAAAATTACAGGCACACACCACCAGGCCTGGCTAATTTTTCTATTTTTAGTAGAGATGGGGTTTCACCATGTTGGCCTGGCTGGACTTGAACTCCTAACCTCAGGTGTTCCACCTGCCTTGTCCTCCCAAAGTGTTGGGATTACAGGCATGAGCTACCACGCCCGGCTTGTAAATTTTTTTAAAGATGTCCAATGGATGAACCTGGAGACCATCATTTTCAGCAAAATGACACAAAAACAGAAAATGAAATACCGCATGTTCTCACTCATAGGCGGATGTTGAACAATGAGAATACATGGACACAGGGAGGGGAGCACTACACACTGGGGTCTGTTGGGGGGAATAGGGGAGGGACAGCAGGGGGTGGGGAGTTGGGGAGAGATAACATGGGGAGAAATGCCAGATACAGGTGAAGGGGAGGAAGGCAGCAAATCACACTGCCAAGTGTGTACCTATGCAACTATCTTGCATGTTCTTCACATGTACCCCCAAACCTAAATGCAATAAAAAATAAAATAAAATAAAGATGTCCACATTTAAGTATATAAGGAGATTTTACATTAAAACCTTGATTTCCAGTTTCTTTAGAAAATCCTGGGCTGGGTGTAGTGGCTCACACCTACAATCCCAGCACTTTGGGAGGCCGAGGTGAGTGGATTGCCTGAGGTCATGAGTTCAAGACCAGTCTGCCAACATGATAAAACCTTGTCTCTATTAAAAATACAAAAAAATCAGCTGGGTGTGGTGGTGTGCATCTGTAATCCCAGCTGCTTGGGAGGCTGAGGCAGGGGAATTGCTTGAACCAGGGAGGTAGAGGTTGCAGTGAGCTGAAATTGCACCACTACACTCCAGCCTGGGAGACAAAGCAAGACTCCACCTCAAAAAAAAAAATTCTGGAGTTCTGGCAACATTGTCTCACTGTCAAGCCCATGTTCTTTGCATTGCACTCCAGCCTGGGTAACAAGAGCTATGCGATGCGTCTCAAAAAGAAAAAAAAACTCTTTCAGGGCCGGCTGCAGTGGCTCATGCCTGTAATCCTAGCACTTTGGGAGACCGAGGTGGGCGGATCACCTAGGTCAGGAGTTTAAGACCAGCTTGACCAACATGGTGAAACCCCATCTCTACTTAAAATGGAAAAATTAGCCAGGCATGGTGGCAGTCGCCTGTAATCCCAGCTACCGGAGAGGCTGAGGCAGGAGAATCGCTTGAACCTGGGACAGTGAAGTTGCACTCCAGCCTGGGCCACAGATCTAGACTGTCTCGAAAGGAAAATAAAAAACTTTTTTTTTTTTTTTTTGAGACAGAGTTTCGCTGTTGTTACCCAGACTGGAGTGCTATGGCATGATCTCGGCTCACCGCAACCTCCACCTCCTGGGTTCAGGCAATTCTCCTGCCTCAGCCTCCCGAGTAGCTGGGACTACAGGCATGCACCACCATGCCCAGCTAATTTTTGTATTTTTAGTAGAGATGGGGTTTCACCTTGTTGACTAGGATGGTCTTGATCTCTTGACCTCGTGATCCACCTGCCTCGGCCTCCCAAAGTGCTGGGATTATAGGTGTGAGCCACCGCACCCCGCCCAAATAAAAATCTTTCTAGCAGGATCCAACTTGTCTAGATAAGCTTGCTTGGGCCCAAGGGAACCTCCCACAGTGCTTTTCAGCTAGAGCTCTCCTCCAAGTTACCTGAAGAGTTTGTACAGTACAGAAACCCTTGGTCCCACCACAGTCTTCAAAATCAGAACCTCTGGGGTTGGGCAAAGGCATGTGTATTTAAAAAAAAAAACAAAAAGCCTCTGACATCTCTGCTTCCTTCCTGCTAAATCTCTCTCCGTCTTCCCCCTTGGGTTTTTCTCCAGTCATTTGGCTGTTTTCTTGCCTGAGGATTTGCATCTGCTTTTTTCTTCCCTGCTCCATCTAGATTGGCATTTCCACCAACTGTACCCTTCTTCGGTCCACAGGGAGCTTCTGAGTAGCAGTGGCAGGAGGTGTGCTTACCTCCTGGGAGAGGAGCTCTAGGATAGGAAAGAGGGAAGACCTAGTTTCCCAAGTACTGAGGCCTGGGAGGGAACTTTCCAGAGAAGACCATGTCAGTGGGGGTCCTGTGAGTGGGAGACCCATGTATGGCCTGCAGATCTGACCAAGCACCACCCTCCTCTCTCTTCCCTAGGCTCTGGAAGAGGATCTGAACCAGAAGAAGCGGGAGCAGGAGATGTTCTTCAAGCTAAGCGAGGAGTCAGAGTGCCCAAACCCCACCACCCCAAGCAAGGCCACCAAGTTCTTCCCCTACAGTTCTGCAGATGCTTCTTAACAACCGCCCAGGGCTGTGGCTGGCAGCCTGGGGGGGCCCCAGGGCCTTCTCCTTCATTCTCTGTGAACAAGTAACTCAGGACCTCTTTTCCCTCTTGCATCTGTGCCAGCTCAAATCCAGCCCCTCGCCCTGTGCCACCCCAGCTGTGCCCGGCAGACCCTCCCCGGCATTCCTGACTTCTCACTCACCTGTGAAGGGCGAGGTGTTATTATGTGTCCCCTGACCCTAATGTATGTTCTCCTTGAGCCCCAGATCCCTTCAAGCTGGAAGGGATGGGGCTGTTGGGGTCAGGGTCCAGGAGGAATGGGTGTTCTGTCGCCTCAAGTCTTTTCTGTTTGCCAAAATACCAGTTTTGCTCTCTCTGGGCACAAAGCACTGCTGATGAAAACTCCATGGGCTCATCTGACCGTAATTCTTGGTGGTTTTTCAGTCATTCCCAGAAGAGTCACGGAATCATTGAGCCATTTGTGTTCCCGGTGGAGCCCAGCCTGCAGCTGGCTGCTCAGGAGATGGCCTCATTCATCCTGTTCTCCCAGTTTGCTTTCCACTTAAGATAAGGCCATGTCTATGTGGGAGGTGGGGACCGGGGAAAGAGGGAGGCTGAAATGTTTATTCTGCTTCTTGAGGGTTTCATGCCATCTCACGTCCCTCTTCCTGCACACACGTGTGAACGCACGAACACACACAGGACTTGGTCTGCTGGCCTGGCCTCTTCTGCCCAGGTGGATTGGAACACATTTGCTGCCTGAGCCTGTGCCACTGAGTGTGTTAGGTGGAGCAGTTGGTGTGGTGCGTGCGGGGTGTTGGCACCAGAGGCACAGAGCAGCACAGGCTGTACTGCCAGGCTTCGACTCATGCTGGTCCCACACAGGCTCCTGTGTTCAGGGACTAATTCCTCAGCACACAAGGCTTCCACAACCCTGTCTGCTCCAGAGTACTCTTGCCCACCCTGTCTGCAGGTGAAACAGGAGGGCTGTTTCCTCTGCCCCATCCCCGCCCCACCATGTACAGGACTCCCACCTTGCATTTCAGACCTGGGCTGGCAGTCTCTTGGACTTACCTTCAGGAAGAAAAAGCATCAGGGAGAAATGGAATGCCCCCTGCCCCAGGAACCTGGCAGAAGCACAGGTTCTGTACCTCAGATAGACCCCTGGGCCTTCGCTTCTCAGTTGGCTTCTCCCAGATTGCGATCCCATGGCAGCACTGTATATAACTCAATAAAAGCAAATGTTCAAATATATGCAGGTTTATTTACAAAGAAAACCTTTTTTCACCCTGATTTCTAGTTGTTTCATTGAAATAGCTATAAAATATATGGCTTCTCCAGGAAGATATCTTCTTTTAAAAAACATAAACAAAAACAAAAAAATTGGTAAGGATTTGGGTGAGAGGACTTTTTCCACCTTCACTCCCACAGGTTTATGATTCTTTTATTTTTAATAAAATAAAAGAATTGGTGGTTAACCTGAGATCAGGAGTTCGAGACTAGTCTGGCCAACATGGCAAAATCTCAAATTAGCCAGTCATGGTGGTGCATGCCTGTTATCCCAGATACTTGGGAGGCTGAGGCAGGAGAATCACTTGAACCCGGGAGGCAGAGGTTGCAATGAGCCAAGATTGCTCCACTTTACTCCAGCCTGGGTGACAGAGCAAGAAAGGGTCTCTCATATGTTGCCCAAGCTGGTCTCAAACTCCTGGTTCAAGTGAATCCCCCCACTTAACCCTCAAGAGTAGCTGGAACGACAGGCACATGCCACTGTGCCCAGCTCGGTTAAGGTTCCATATACTCTGTCTTTTTCTTTTTTTTTTTTTTTGAGATGGAGTTTCACTCTTGTTACCCAGGCTGGAGTGCAATGGCACGATCTCGGCTCACCGCAACCTCCGCCTGCCAAACTATCCTCCCACCTCAGCCTCCCGAGTAGCTCAGACTACAGGCACATGCCACTGGGTTCAGGCAATTCTCCTGCCTCAGCCTCCCGAGTAGCTGGGATTACAGGCACGCACCACCGTGCCCAGCTAATTTTTGTATTTTTAGTAGAGACGGGGTTTCACCATGTTGACCAGGATGGTCTCGATCTCTTGACCTTGTGCTCCACCCTCCTCGGCCTCCCAAAGTGCTGGGATTACAGGCTTGAGCCACCGCGCCCAGCCCTTTTTTAATTGAGTCAGGGTCTCGCTGTGTTGCCCAGACTGGAGTGCAGTAGCTATTCACAGGCGCGATCCCACTACTGATCAGCACAGGAGTTTTGACCTGCTCCATTTCTGACCTGGGTCGGTTCACCTCTCCTTAGGCAGCCTGGTGGTACCCCGTTCCCTGGAGGTCACCATACTGATGCTGAACTTAGTGCGGACACCTGATCAGCATAGCGCACTACAGCCCAGAACTCCTGGGCTCAAGCTATCCTCCCACCTCAGCCTCCCGAGTAGCTCGGACTACAGGCACGCGCCACTGCGCCCGGTACTCTGTCTTTCTAAAGCAATTTCCTGGAAATTCTCTCAACATTGGTTATAACTGGATGCTTGGGAAGGGAGGAGCAGCCCTTCAACAGGAAAAGGGGACTGCCCAAATCTTAGGAAAGATCCTCTTGGAGCTAGGTAAGGCAGTGGTTCTCAAGTTAGTGAGCATTTATCTTGCCTGCTGCAGAATTTGACCCAGATGGGACGTTTTTCAGGTCTCTCACAAATGAGACAAGTCCAACAGTCCTCTCCTTTTATTCTCTTTGGTGCACAGGTGCTGGGGAAACAGGAACTAGCTGCAGTGTAACTGCAGAACACAGACCCAGTTCTACCAGGCCAGGTCAGCATTGGGAACCATCAGACAGGGCTGCTTTGGGCTTTGCTTATAGTATTTTTGTTTGTAGTTTGGCGTGTGAGAAAGTATTAGGTGAAATGCCAGTCATGGTTCAGGTGAAAGTCTCATTATTCCCCTTGTGGCTCATCCTTCACGTCATTTTTTTTTTTTTTTTTTGAGACTGAGTTTCGCTCTTGTTGCCCAGGCTGGAGTGCAATGGCGCAATCTCGGCTGACTGCAACCTCTGCCTCCCAGGTTCAAGCAATTCTGCTGCCTCAGCCTCCTGAGTAGTTGAGACTACAGGCATGTGCCACCACACGCAGGTAGTTTTTGTATTTTTGGTAGAGATGGGATTTTGCCATGTTGACCAGGATGGTCTCGATCTCTTGACCTCGTGATCCATCTGCCTTAGCCTCCCAAAGTGCTGGGATTACAGGTGTGAGCCACCACGCCTGGCCTCTTTCACATCCTCTTTGCCCTTAAAGGAGTTGCTGCCTCCCTGCTTAGTGTCGCCTGACCCCTCAGAGCTTCCCTGTGCTTTTTTGGTTGGGGACTGGCAGGGTCTCCTAGCCTTACAAGGGAGCCACCTGCAGTGCCCATCTGGGAGGCCCAGGCAGTATTCCTCATGCTCTGTGCTAGTGTTTTTTACATAAGGGACAGACAGAGCTGATTTTTCTTTTTTCCCTCTGTCTGGTTTTAGCAGAGTCAGTGTAACTAACTTATATTTTCTCTTTATGAAACATAGAAGTTATTTTTATGTAGTTTCCAGCCTTTATACAAAATTTTTGTAAAAGGTTTTCTAGAAAGTTAACTACAAGAATACAAGAATGTAAATATGCTTCTAATAAAATAACAAGGTTATCTGCCATTCGGGTTGTTCTTTTGGATGGGGTGAAAAGCAGGGCACACTTATCCATAAGCCCAGCAAGAAAGGGCTTATCAACCAAGTACACAGGTGCCTCCCAGGTTATACAGCAGCTCAGACTTCAGGTTTCTGTTTAGAAAGACATTATGCTTGGTTGAGAGAGTGTGTTGAGGGCCATGTTCTCTACAGGCATTTAATATCATTCTCATTTAACAACAAGCATTCACTGGCCCCCAGAAATTTTCACCTGTTAATGTACTGAATCTTTTGACAATCGGGAAGACATCATCGTTCCTATTTTATGTATTTATCTATTGGGTTTTTGTTTAGTTTTGTTTTGTTTTTGTAGAGACAGGGTCTCCCTATCACCTAGGGTAGAATACAGTGGTATGATCATGGTTCACTATAACCTCAAACTCATGGTCTCAGGCGATCCTCCTGCCTTAGCTTCCTGAGTAGGTAAGATTATAGGCCTGAGCCACGGTGCCTGGCTAACTTGTTTTGTGGAGATGGAGGTCAGGGCAGGCGGGAACACTATGTTGCCCAGGCTGGTCTCAAACTCCTGGCCTCAAGCAATCCTCCTGCCTCAGCCTCCCAAACAGCTGGAATTACAGGTGTGAGCCACCACACCAGGCTCATTCTCATTTTATAGATGAGGAAATGGGCACTAGGCCAGGGGAAGGGTCAAGCCAAATCTCAAATCACTGGTAAGTGATGACTGTGGGAGTCAAACTTAAACCTTCTGCAAGAGGTGTTCCTGGCACACCTCCTGTGTCTCACCCAACTGCCACTTGAACTAATTAATCAAGGGTCACACAGACACCTAGACACTAGCCATCTCTGCCGTATTAAAAAGAATCTGTCTGTTATGCCTCTGAAACACCATTTAGGCTTCCTTAACTTTGGGTCCATAGACTGTCCCCACAAAGGATCTATATGTAGAATTCAGAGTGTCTTGGAACTTGGATGGCAAAAGAGTTGGTCTTTAGTTTTATTATTTTATTTATTTATTTATTTTTTCTTTAAAGATGGAGTTTCACCATGTTGGTCAGGCTGATCTTGAACTCCTGACCTCAGGTGATCCACCCCCCTTAGCCTCCAAAGTCCTTGGATTACAGACATGAGCCACCACACTCAGCTGGTCTTTAGTTTTACTATCCTTTAACTGAAATTAAGCATTTCCTTTCATTGTGGATGTAGCCAACGAACTCTAGCAGTTTAACAGTAGTTGTGACTATCACCAATAAAAATCACAGATATTTCATATCACATTGCAGCTGTTGTAAGGATCTCAAAATACTTTTTTTTTTGAGGCGGAGTTTCGCTCTTGTTACCCAGGCTGGAGTGCAATGGCGCGATCTCGGCTAACCGCAACCTCTGCCTCCTGGGTTCAAGCAATTCTCCTGCCTCAGCCTCCCGAGTAGCTGGGACTACAGGCGTGCGCCACCATGCCCAGCTAAGATCTCAAAATATTTTTATCACTTGGAAATTACATTAGCTATTAAACCTATTGCTAGATCTTATTTAATGTGCATATGTGTGTATATACATCCATATATCACATTACATGGGCATATATATCACATACATAATATCTACAGGTTTTTCAGTATTTTGTCACCTGTATTCCATATGATTGGTTTCATTTGTAATCTATGTGCTTTATATTGCACACTTGAAAATGTTATTCTGAGAAGCCACCAGGCAGTGGCTCACGCCTGTAATCCCAGCATTTTGGGAGACTGAGGCTGGCAGATTACTTGGGATCAGGAGTTCGAGACCAGCCTGGCTGACATGGTGAAACCCTGTCTCTACTAAAAATACAAAAATTAGCCAGGCGTGGTGGCACACCTGTAATCCTAGCTACTCAGGAGGCTGAGACACAAGAATTGCTTGAACCCAGGAGGTGGAGGTTGCAGTGAGCCAAGAACACACCACTGCACTCCAGCCTGGGCAACAGAGTGAGGCTTTGTCTCAAAAAATAATATATTATTCTGAGAAGGGATTCCTATTCTTTGTGGAATGCCAATGGAGTCTATGACACAAAAAATGATTTAGAACCCCTGTTTCTCCAGCCTTGAATTGTCTCTGTCCCGGAAAACTTCTGACCAGCAGGGGGCAGGCTGCAGCCACGAGGTCAGTGCAGACTTCACATTGATTACTGTCTGGGAGATGCAAATAAACAAGCAGCTGGCCTGCCTGCCATTAAGGGCTAGAAAAATGACTGGGGTTCTCGTGAAAAATAATTCATGAAACTGACAAACCAACAGTGCACTAGGGGATTCATAGGACTTGGGAAATGAGATCATTCCACGTTCATTGACACCTCTTAAGTACCATGTGCTAGAGATGCCAAGATTGAGTAAGACATTGACACTGTCTCCTTGTCCGCGTAGGGAAACAGACCTGGAAAAGCAGAGTGTAAGTTCAGACCAACGTTGCCTGGGAGAATCAGGGAAGACTTCCCAGAGAAGGTGATGCTGAATCTCGGAAGACAAACTAGTATGTACCAGAAGAGGTGCATTCGGAGATAGGGATGTTTAGGATAAATGCTTTACAGGTCATGAGGCTGAAGAGATGAGCAGGTCCCGACCAACATGCTAGGCTAAAACACCTTTATCTATCCCAAGGGCAGTCAGAAGAATGGGAGTTCACTCAGGGAAAGGGCAGTTGAAATCATGGCCTTGGCAATTCAAGAGACTGGCTGAAAAGAACTGAGATTATGTTGAAATATTTGATTTATTTATTTATGAGGCGGAGTTTTCCTCTTCTTGCCTAGGCTCAAGTGCAATGGTGTGATATTGGCTCACCACAAAATCGATTCTCTGCCTTAGTCTCCCGAGTAGCTGGGATTGCAGGCATGCTCCATCACATCTGGATAATTTTGTATTTTTAGTAGAGACAGGGTTTCTCCATGTTGGTCAGGTTGGTCTTGAACTCCTGACCTCAGATGATCCCCCAGCCTTGGCTTCCCAAAGTGCACCACGCCCAGTGAAAGAGTTTTTTGGCCCAGAGTTTTGAGGATTTCAGAATGAAAGGGAAGACTGCAGGTTCCATGAGGGCAAGAAGTAGGGCTTTTTAGCTGACCCCTTGCTGTGGTGTAAATGTCCCCTCCAAAACTCACTGAAATTTAATTGCCACTGTAAGGATGTTGAGAGGTGCAACCTTTAAGAGGTGACTAGTACAAGAGCCCTATGAATGGACTAATGCCATTATTGCTGAAGTGGGTTAGTTATCATGGGAATGGATTCCTGATAAAAAGGTGAGTTGGCTGGGTGTGGTACTTCAAGCCTGTAATCCCAGCACTTTGGGAGGCCAAGGTGGGAGGATCACCTGAAGTCAGGATTTCAAGATCAGCCTGGCCAACATGGTGAAACCCTGTCTCTACTAAAAATACAAAAATTGAGCTGCTTCAAGATGAAGCTGAACATCTCCTTCTCAGCCACTGGCTGCCAGAAACTCATCGAAGTGGACGATGAATGCAAACTTCGTACTTTTTATGAGAAACGTATGGAGACAGAAGTTGCTGCTGACCCTCTGGGCGAAGAATGGAAGGGTTATGTGGTCCGAATCAGTGGTGGGAAAAGGAAACAAGGTTTCCCCATGAAGCAGGGCATCTTGACTCATGGCCGTGTCCGCCTCCTACTGAGTAAGGGGCATTCCTGTTACAGACGAAGGAAAACTGGAGAAAGAAAGAGAAAATCAGTTTGTGGTTGCATTGTGGATGCTAATCTGAGTGTTCTCAACTTGGTTATTGTAACAAAAGGAGAGAAGGATATTCCTGGACTGATACCACGGTGCCTCGTCGCCTCGGGCCCAAAAGAGCTAGCAGAATCTGTAAACTTTTCAATGTCTCTGGAGAAGATGATGTCCGCCAGTATGTTGTAAGAAAGCCCTTAAACAAAGAAGGTAAGAAACCTAGGACCAAAGCACCCCAAGATTCAGCATTTTGTTTCTTTTTTCTTTTTTTAAGATGGGGTTTCACCATGATGGCCAGGCTAGTCTTGAACTCCTAACCTCAAGTGATCCACTCTGGCCTCCCAAAGTGCTAGGATTACAGGCATGAGCCACCGCACCCGGCAGATTCAGCATCTTGTTACTCCACGTGTCCTGCAGAACAAACGGCGGCATATTGCTCTGAAGAAGCAGTGCACTAAGAACAATAAGGAAGAGGCTGCAGAATATGCTAAACTTTTGGCCAAGAGAATGAAGGAGGCTAAAGAGAAGCGCCAGGAACACATTGCAAAGAGACGCAGACTTTCCATCTCTGTGAGCTTCTACTTCTAAGTCTGAATTCAGTCAGAAATAAGATTTTTGAGTAACAAATAAGATCAAACTTAAAAAAATAATAAAAGAATTAGCCAGGTGTGGTGGTGGGCGCCTGTAATCCCAGCTACTCTGGAGGCTAAGGCAGGAGAATCGCTTGAACTTGGGAGGCAGAAGTTACAGTGAGCCGAGATTGCACCACTGCACTCCAGCCTGGGTGACAGAGTGAGACTCCGTCTCAAAAAAAGGATGAGTTTACCCAATTTCCTCCCTTTGTGTCTATGCTCACTTCTGTCTTCCATTTTCTGCCATTGGATGACCCTTACCAGATACTGCTTTTGGACTTCCCAGCCTCCAGAACTGTGAGCCAAATAAACTTCTGTGACATGGTAAAAAGCCCCATAAAACTGCATATCTCAACCACCCCTCAGCTTTCTGTTGAAACTGCTCTCTATAACCCAAATGTGAATAAGTAATTAAGGACTGTGATTGCCACCCTACCCAGATAATGTGTAAACGAATGCTAATCTTGACTTTTGTGAATCACTTGAGTAACAACCAGAATGTCAAAAAGTCCACTGGCCCTTGGAATGTCTGGAGCCCCTCACCCCCACCCTCACTCCCAAGGTGATTTTTATGGGTATAAAAGGTCTTGACACCCTCCTTTCGGGGCCACAGGTTGGAGAGATGCGAGAACTCCATGGCCGCCAGCAATAAAGACCCTGCAATTTGGCATACTTTTGTCTTGATGTTGATTTTCTATGCTCGGGCCAGTACAACACTTCTGTTTTTTATAAATTTAACTAGTCTATGATATTCTGTTATGGCAGCAGAAACCAAAGCAGAAAATTGGTACTGAGCAGTGGCCTGTTACAATAACAAACACTTGTAGAAAATGTGGAAACCACTCTGGAACTAGGTAATGCATAGAGACTGGAAAAATTGGAAGGAGCAGGCCAGAAAAAGCCTATACTGCCATCAATGGAGCATTAGGGTGATTCTGGTGAGGGCTCAGGAGGGAAGAGCTGTAAGGAAAGTCTGAACCATCTAAGAGATTACTTAAAGGCTCATGACCAGAATGTTGGTAGAAATATGGGCGGTAAAGGCCATTCTGTTGAGGTCTCAAATAGAAATGAGGAACAAGGTATTCGAAACTGGAGTAGTGTTTGCTTCAGCAGCACATATAGTAATATTGGAAGGATACAGAGAAGATTAGCATGGCCCCTGTGCAAGGATAGCATGCACATTTGTGAAGCGTTCCATATTTTTACTTGAAGAAAACTACCTTAAACTTCATAGGGAACCAAAAAAGAGCCTACATAGCCAAGACAATCCTAAGCAAAAAGAACAAAGCTGGAGGCATCACGCTATCTGATTTCAAACTGTACTACAAGGCTGCAGTAATTAAAACAGCATGGTACTAGTACCAAAACAGAGATATAGACCAATGGAACAGATCAGAGGCCCTGGAGGCAACGCCACACATCTACAATCATCTGATCTTTGACAAACCTGACAAAAACAAGCAATGGGGAAAGGATTCCCTGTTTAATAAATGGTGTTGGAAAAACTGGCTAGAAAGCAGAAACTGGACCCCTTCCTGACAACTTACACTAAAATTAGCTCCAGTTGGATTAAAGACTTAAACATAAGACCTAACACCATCAAAACCCTGGAAGAAAACCAAGACAAAACAATTCAGGCCATAGGCATAGGCAAGGACTTCATGACTAAAACATCAAAAGCATTGACAACAAAAGCCAAAATAGACAAATGGGACCTAACTAAACTCCACAGCTTCTGTACAGAAAAAGAAACAATCATTAGAGTGAACTGGCAACCAACAGAATGGGAAAAAGTTTTTGCAATCTACCCATCTGACAAAAGGCTAATATCCAGAATTATATCCAGAATCTACAAAGAACTAAAACAGATTTACAAGAAAAAACAAACCCAGCCAAAAGTGGGCAAAGAATATGAACACACTTTTCAAAAGAAGACATATATGAGGCCAACAAACATATAAAAAAAATGCTCATCATCACTGATTATTAGAGAAATGCACATCAAAATCACATTGAGATACCATGTCACACCAGTTAGAATGGCGGTCATTAAAAAATCTGGAGACAAGGCCAGGCACAGTGGCTCAAGCCTGTAATCCCAGCACTTTGGGAGGCCGAGGCAGGTGGATCACGAGGTCAAGAGATTGAGACCATCCTGGTCAACATGGTGAAACCCCGTCTCTACTAAATACAAAAAATTAGCTAGGCATAGTGGTGAGAACCTGTAGTCCCAGCTACTCGGGAGGCTGAGGCAGTAGAATTGCTTGAACCCAGAAGGCGGAGGTTGCAGTGAGCCGAGATTGTGCCATTGCACTCCAGTCTGGGTAACAACAGTGAAACTCTGTCTCAAAAAAAAAACCCCAAAAATACAGAAGTTAGCCAGGTGTGGTGGTGCACATCTGTAATCCCAGCTACTTGGGAGGCTGAGGCAGGAGGATTGCTTGAACCTGGGAGATGGAGGTTGCAGTGGGCTGAGATCTTGCCACTGCACTCCAGCCTGGGTGACAGGGCAAGACTCCATCTCCAAAATAAAACAGAAAAGCTAGACAAAAACAGTAAATACATCTACTTGAAGGTACTTGAAACTGCAAGATAGGGATGAATTATGAAGCCAGGATACAAGCAAGGATGAAAACCTGGAGAGGCAATTCTTGAGATTTCACCCTGGGTACATTTGCTGATCCTAGAGAGGGTAACAGAAATGCAGTGCTGAGCTTTTGACAGGCTCCCAGGGCTCCATGGACAAGGACTGAAATCCAGGGCCTGCCAAGGGCATGATAGAAGAGAGCCAGGTGAGCCATTCCCTTTGAGTGCAGACCCTAAAGGGCTATACCCATAAATAAGATTTAACAGTCCTCATAAGGATTGTAGTTCTGCTTCAACTAATAAAAATCTCTGAAACTGGACTGGAGTGATCCAAGATTGCCAGTGTTCACAAGCTCCTGGCAGAAGCAAAGGTGAATCCTTACTGGGGGAGTGAACTTAGGCTTCAATTATTTATGCAAACAATTTTACAAGTCAAATGTCTAGCACACAATTTAAAAATAACTAGACACACAAAGAAGAAATAACATGAACACACCAGGAGAAAGAACAGACATTAGAAATACATCAATAGGGGCTACAGATATGAAGTAGTCTAAGTCCAGCTTTATTTATTTTTTTTGAGATGGAATGTTGCTCTGTCACCCAGGCTGGAGTGCAACGGTGCGATCTCGGCTTACTGCAACCTCTGCCTCCTCAGTTTAAGCAATTCTCCTGCCTCAGCCTCCTGAGTAGCTGGGATTACAGGTGCATGCCACCATGCCCAGCTAAGTTTTGTATTTTTAGCAGAGACAGGGTTTCACCATGTTAGTCAGGCTGGTCTTGAACTCCTGACCTCATAAGCCATCCGCTTCGGCCTCCCAAAGTGCTGGGATTATGGGCATGAGCCACTGCACCCACACTTTTTTTTAAAAAGAAAAGTTCTCACCCAGTGGCACAAGCTGGAGTGCAGTGGCATGATAGCTCATGGGCACAAGCACCCCTCCAGCCTCAGCCTTCCAAATAGCTAGAACTATAGGCACATGCCACCACAGCCAGCTAATTTTTAATTTTTTTGTAGAGACAGTCTCACTATATTGCCCAGGCATGAGCAACTTCACCTGGCCTAAATCCAACTTTAAAATCATTATGCTCGACTGGGTATAGTGGCTCACGCCTGTAATCCCAGCACTTTGGGAGGCTGAGGCAGGCAGATCCCATGAGGTCAGGAGTTCCAGGCCAGCCTGGCCAACATGGCAAAACCCCATCTCTACTAAAAATACAAAAATTAGCCGAGAGTGGCTGTGCATTTCTGTTATCCCAGCTACTTGGGAGGTTGAGGCAGGAAAATCATTTGAATCCAGGAGGTGGAGAGTAGTGAGCCAAGATTGCGCCACTGCACTCCAGCCTGGATGACAGAGTGAGACTCCGTCTCAAAAAAGGCCAAAATAAAAATAAATAAATAAATAAAATCACTATGCTTACTACTTTTTAAAATTAATTATTATTATTTTTTTGAGATGGAGTCTCACTCTGTCACCCAGGCTGGAGTGCAATGGTGCAATCTTGGCTCACTGGAACCTCGGCAGCTTTAAGTGATTCTCCTGCCTCAGCCTCCCAAGTAGTTGGGATTATGTGCCACCACGCCCGGCTAATTTTTAGTTTCACCATGTTGGTCAGGCTGGCATGGTTGATCCGCCCACCTTGGCCTCCCAAAGTGCTGGGATTAAAGGCATGAACCACTGCGCCTGGCGCTTATTACTTTTGAGGAGATAAAAAATGCTTTTGAATAAATACTTTTGAAAATTTTAGCATCAAAAGTTTTAAAAAGAACCAAATTTTTTTTTGTTTGTTTTTTGAGTCAGAGTTTTTGCTCTTGTTACCCAGGCTGGAGTGCAATGGCACGATCTCGGCTCACTGCAACCTCCGCCTCCTGGGTTCAGGCAATTCTCCTGCCTCAGCCTCCTGAGTAGCTGGGATTACAGGCACGCGCCACCGTGCCCAGCTAATTTTTTGTATTTTTAGTAGAGACGGCGTTTCACCATGTTGACCAGGATGGTCTCAATCTCTTGACCTCATGATCCACCCGCTTCGGCCTCCCAAAGTGCTGGGATTACAGGCTTGAGCCACCGTGCCTGGCCGCTAGAACCAACTGTTTTAAAATTAGATAGTGGTGATGTTTGTACAACCCTGAATATTAAAAAATACACTGAATTGTATACTTTAAAGGGTGAATTTTATGATTATGCAAATTATATCTCAACAAAGCTACTGCTGAAAAAAGAAACAAGTAAAAAGTCTTGAAATAAAAATAATAAGTTGTCATATAATAATCTCTCTTTTTTTCTTCCCCCCACCCCAATAATCTCAGTCATTTGAACCTAGGAGTTCAAAACCAGCCTGGGAAATATAGTGAGACCCCGTCCCTACAAAAAATTAAAAAATAATAGTAATAACAAAGGCCAGGCCAGACACAGTGGCTCATGCCTGTAATCCCAGCAATTTGGGAGGCTGAGGCGGGCGGATCACCTGAGGTTGGTCAGCCTGATCAAAATGGAGAAAAACCCCATCTCTACTAAAAATACAAAATTAGCCGGGTGTGGTAGAGTAGCCTGTAATCCCAGCTACTCGGAAGGCTGAGGCAGGAGAATCGCTTGAACCCGGTAGGTGAAGTTTGCAGTGAGCCGAGATCGAGCCATTGCACTCCAGCCTGGGCAACAAGAGTAAAACTCTGTCTCAAAAAAAAAAAAAAAAAAAAAAAAATAGCCAGGCATGGTGGCACATGCCTGTAATCCCAGCTACGCAGGAGGCTGAGTCAGGAGAATCACTTGAACCCAGGAGGCAGAGTTTGCAGTGAGATCACACCATTACACTACAGCCTGGGCAACAAGAGCAAAATGTCATCTCAAAACAAACAAACAAAACAAAACAAAAAAACAAAGGCCAGCCATGGTGACTCACGCCTGCAATCCCAGAACTTTGGGAGGCCAAAGTGGCTGGATCACCTGAGGTCAGGAGTTCAAGACCAGCCTGGCCAACATGGTAAAACTCTGTCTCTACTAAAAATACAAAGATTAGCTAGGTATGGTGGTGGGTGTCTGTAATCTCAGGTACCTGAGAGGCCAAGGCAGGAGAATCACTTGAACCTGGGAGGCAGGGGTTGCAGTGAGCCGAGATTGTGCCATTGTACTCCAGCCTGGGCGACAGAGTCAGACTCTGTCTCAAAATAATAATGATAATAATAATAATCATAATAATGGCCAGGCACGGGGGGTTCGCGCCTATAATCCCAGCCCTTAGGGAGGCCGAGGTGGGTAGATCACCTGAGGTCAGGAGGGGGATACCAGCCTGGCCAAAGTGGAGACACCTCATCTCTATTAAAAATACAAAATTAGCTAGGCGTGGTGGAGCCCGCCTATAATCCCAGCTACTCAGGAAGCTGAGGCAGGAGAATCACTTGAACCCGGGAGGTGGAGATTGCAGTTGCAGTGAGCCAAGATCATGCCATTGCACTCCAGCCTGGGTGATAGAGTGAGACTGTCTCAAAATACAGGCTTACACCTGTAATCCCAGCACTTAGGGAGGCCGAGGCGGGTGGATATCCTGAGGTTGGGAGTTGAAGACCAGCCTGGCCAATGTGGAGAAACCCTGTTTCTATTAAAAATACTAAACTAGGCTGGGTGCTTTGGAGGGTAGTTTAAGGTGGGTAGTTAACAAAAATAAATCCAAGCACTTTGGAGGCCAAGGCGGGCGGATCACCTGAGGTCGGGAGTTCAAGACAAACCTGAACAATATGGCGAAACCCTGTCTTTATATCTAAAAAAGGAAAAACAGAAAAATGATAAATATATAAATAAATAATAGAAATAAAAATAAAAATACCAAACTAGCCAGGTGTGGTAGAGCACGCCTATAATCCTAGCTACTTGGGAGACTGAGGCAGGAGAATTGCTTGAACCCAGGAGGCAGAGGTTGCAGTGAGCCAAGATCGCCCCACTGCATTCCAGCCTGGGTGACAAAAGTGAGACTTCACCCCACAAAGTAAAATAAAATAAGTAAAGTAATTAATCTGAGATGCCTACGAGACATCCACAGAGGGATGTCATTTGTGTACACACATCTGATGCTCAGAGGAGATATCTGGGCTGAGAGGTTATAAGTTTGAGACTAGAGTGTGAGGTGGGGAGTTAACAAAAATAAAGTTGGAAAGGAGGCTTGACCAGGAGATTTATGCAAACCATGAAAAGGAATTTGGATTTTATCCTGCAAACAAGGAATGACTTCTGCTTGATGTTGTAGGCAGATGATTGGCTGCATTGTAAAAACACATTGGAGGGACACAGGCTGGAGGGTGGCTCACGGTCAGGGTCCTTACAGTAATCTAGGTAAAAGATGGGAAGAGATTTTCAGATACGGTTTTATATCCTGATTTTTTCACTTGCATTATACTATGAACATTTAACAATGTCAACAACAGTTCTCTGGAAACATCGTTTTAAATGGCTCATTAACCTACCAACCTATGAACCA